ATACGTAACACAAAATATGACAATAGTACGATACCTAGTTGAAAAAATACCTATTCAGAAATCAGAAAATCAAAATACCATTGAAAAATATTCATCCAGGCCGAGATCCAGGCTATAGAGCGGAGCTTGGACGAGTAGTGCTTTCACTTTAGTACGGAACTTTTTATCACGTGATATTTCATCGATGTCATTTCGAAGGTGATTGAAAATTTGTATTCCATTATAAATGATCGAGTGCTTGACCCGGCTTGACCATAGTGGTTCCGGGTATTATCAACTTTATTTGACCATTCTGCCTCTTGTATTGTATCGTGACGAGACAAGTTGTAAGGCATATTTGTTTTTTGAATTAGAGACGCTGTTTCTAATATGTATAAGCCGAGGTATAAGCAAACCACAGTAAATATATTATAATTTTTGAATAAGTCTCTACAGCTATCTCTAGATTTCGCCTGGCCTATATATCATATAGGGCTCGTTTCTGCAGAACAGAACTCTTCTGGAATCAATGATCCCCCAAAATGCTATTCCATATCTCAAGCAAAATATGCTATTCTAGAAGATGAAAACCCTAATTCAGTGGCAATGTTTCTTACAACATAGCATCCAGAAGCCAGTTTTTACCACAAACCTGTCACGTGTTCTGTAAACAACAACTTATTATCTATGAATACGCCTAGAAACCTAGTTGACAATTCATTTTCTATTACTTCACATCCAATATTCAAGTTAGGAATATTGCAATGAAAAGTCAGGATGTTGGTTTTCTTAATACACTCAGTTCCAAAAAAAGTGACGCACTTAATATTTGACCTGTCTTCTTAAAAAAAAAAATGCTCGTAAAAGAACCCTCTTTCTTATAGGGTGTAAGCACTTTCTATGCCATTACTCAATTAACACACAGGGTGAGTCAAAAATTAAGAATAAATCATGGTTCGAGTTATTCCACCACCATCAAGGAGACTTTGGAAAAATGTTCACCTCTTTATTTTTTTTTCAAGACAAATGAAAAAAAAAAAATCGGCCTACTATTTTTTTTTTAAGAAGATAGGTCAAATATCAAGTGCGTCACTTTTTTTGGAACTGGGTGTATTTAGAGAAAGGAGGTTTGATTTACACCACCATATTCGAAGTGAACAATCTTTACTCGGGGAATCTTTTATGATCTTTGCTCAGAGTAAGTTTGTCGCCCTCGTTATTTGTGGCCAAACCTAGTCAACAATCTTAATTCATAGTAGGTCATGGAACGCAGAATTTATGATTATACAGGGCATCGTCCCTCTTCCTCGAGCTCATCGAGTGGTGTATCCAGGATGAACGGAATAGATGTATATCTATTGAAAAATGTTTCTTCGAATCAGAGTGTTCGCGTGATCGTACTTTGAAAAAATTCAGAATGTGATTCCGATTCCTTGTGTCAGTTCAATGTCGGTTCAATGCCAACAAAGATGGTGGAAAGCAGGTCGAAAGCCCGAGCAAAAACATGACAGTTCAGGATAGACGAACGCAAATAGGTGTTAAAATACCTACCATGTAGTGTAGTTGAAATGTATGTCAAGTTGAAATTTACTTTCCTGGAACGAGTCCAACTCGCATAAAATAGGAAAGACATAACATTGTGAAGAAAATAGAGAGGAGAATACCTCGCAAAATATCTTGGAAATAGCAGTGATTATCTGGTAGGTAAACTCATTTATACGATTTACGATCATTTATTCATGGATTCTCATCAGAAGGCTCATCAAAAGGGTCGAAAGCGAGGTCGAAAGTATGAAATATAAAATATTATTTCTAACAGAAATCATCCATATTAGAAGCAGGACAACCAAGAATTCTACATCCCATGAAAACCGATGAAGAGGATCTTAAATTGAATTATGAACATTAAAAACCGAAAATAAACCGATAGATTAAAAATAGTATATCCAAAATCAATTGTGGAATATCACACACCGCGCAGCGGGTTGAAGTGATTGCAGGTGCGGTACGATACTCTGAAATTATTTTTTGATAAACTTCAAAATTGTGAACAATTTTCATGTTGAAGTGAAAATCCTCACAGAAACAAGTTCAAAAACGACAAGTTTTTAACCCCAGTTCGAGTGTAGAAGGGGGTAAAATTAATATCAATATTCACATTTTCTTTAAAACTCTATAAATTCCGTAATAATTGAGATATCAAAATGAGTACAAAATGAAAATATTCGGAATAGATTAGGCCACAATTTGGTGTTGAGAAATCGTTTCAAAACCATCAGTGGTTCACTCCCCAAGATGTCTTGTATAAAATGCCGAAAAATACGTACTTTCTTCACATCCCTGTATATAATATAAGGACGAATCGTTTGGGGGTGGTTATATGTCAGATCTATTCCTGAAGAATCAAGCTACAATTGATGTCAAACTTTTAGTGAAAATTTTGCCCGTTCCCCTAATTGTGTGTGTATAATTTACCCACACTGGCAACACTCTAAGATAAATGTCTATCCCAGCATTTCGTTCTCTACATTATCTGGTCATTCAGAAGTTAGCCATATTCAGGGAATATTTCTGGGAATACAGATATATACTAGGAAATACAGGAAATATTCAGGAAATACAAGTAATATTCTAGAATTCCTAGAAATACTGGAAGTATATTCAATATTTCCCCTTGGTTGCTCGGTTATTTTTCATCTACTTCTGTTCCATGATCTGTTATTCTTTCTCATTCAATCTCCATCAAAGGTCATTGCACCTGGAGTTGCACCTACTTTGTTTCCCGCCTAGGAACATACCTATGTTGTATATAAAACATAAAACTCGGTTCACATCCGAGATTCAATCATTCATTCAATAGTTTAAAGGGTAGGTAAGTACCAAAGCACCACAGACGGCTCTACCGGCGCCCACTGGTACTGCTGGTAGTACCTACTTATATATCTTTTATTTATTATTTTCACCATGAGTTTCTAACTCGGTTTCTAATACCTCTGAGCAGGGGCGGATGGGACATGGTAAACCGGCCCGGGAAAACAAGCACTGGCGGCCTGGCCTATAGATACCTTATCTTAATAAAAAAAATGTTTTTATATAATAATCTATTTTTTTGTTAGATGAACTTATGGGTCTTTATGAGAGAAAAAAAAAAGAAAAAATGTGCTTCGCTTCAAGCATTTAATATGGAACAGTAGGAAACATTGTGTATAAAACTAAAGAAATAAACTCTACACAGTTATACGAAACAAGCACCAAGTAACGAAAGACAAATGATAACATCGAGGAACTTAAATATAAGGAAAGGAACTAAACATTTGGCATACATTGCAAAATAAGAAAACAACGGAAAATCTAAAACCTAATGAATCCAATCCAAATTATATTTTATAAAAAATAGTGCAAATTAATAAGGATTTAACGAAAAAGTAATCTTTTCATTAAAGCGCTCTGTCCAGCTAAAGCATTGATAACTTCTTCATTGTCAACCTGGTTCAACACAGTACGTTCAATATTCATTAACATGAATGACTCAAGTCTATTATCAGATAAGGAATTTCTTAAGCGAGTTTTTATAAATTTAAGAATAGAGAATGACCTTTCACATTGTACTTGAGATATGGGAAGCGTTAAAAGGTAGTGATATGCAGTAAATAGCGAAGAATAGGCCCCCTGAAACATATTATATTTTGTAATAACAGAATAGCAGCATATAGCACAATTTTTACAAGCAGCCGATTCTTTGGAATTGGGGACACTATCAGATTCTTCTTCAACGTCAATCTCTATGTCCTCAATATCTGACCTCTCTGATATTATATAAGTATCTTCGATGGTCAATTTGAATCTGTTCCAGTTTTTTGCAAAGTTGAGAAGTTCTTCTCTTAAATTTTCAGGAGTAGCAGACGAATTATATTTGATGATTTTCGCAGAAAGTCTTTCCATACAAGCTGAAAGCGATTCAAGAGAGTCATTGCATGCAATTTGTTCGAAGTTTTTTGGGTCTAAAGCAGCTAAATCCCTACATAAATCCATATTTTTTGAAAACCTTGTCTCCATCGAGTTCAATGCAGTGTCCATCAAGATATTGAAGGTATTCACTCTGAACTTGTCTACTTCCGTATTTGGTTGTTCATCGATAGTTGCCTCATCAAAAAAAGTCTTAACCCTTCTACGACGAACTTCTTGAAAGTTCTCCTCAATTGGTGCATCTATTCCTTTTGAAATAAGTTCTGCTTTAGCCCATGTTATAAATTTTTCCGTAGTTTCACTAATTTGGAATGAACGTAGATCATTTATAGCTGTTACAATCATACCGTTACACTTGAGCAGATCTAAACCTTTAGTTTGCAAATACCTTGAAACAGGACCGGTAATACTGAATATTTTTAAAAATATCGAAGATGATTCTTTTTTGACTTGGACCGAACCGGCCCGAAAGCAACCGGCCCTTCGGGAAATTTCCCGAGTGCCCAGCCGGCCCATCCGCCCCTGCCTCTGAGATAGTGAGATTCCTCAGAGTTTCGAGTATGTACCTATTTCTAGTTGAATTTTAGTACAAGTGATTCAAGAACTTTGAGAATAGGAGGGGAGGCTGCCCTGCCCTCGGCCCTGCCCCTGTGGTATTGTATTTCTCATAATTATTAACAAATCGAGAACAAATTATATAATAATGCCACCCCACTGAACACAGACCTGAGACTAGTTACGCTACTGAATAGAATGCATAGGAACTTAGGTATTCTACCAGATCATACCGTAGTACCCTAGGGAACATAAACCGAAACCCTCACCAAAACCTCAATACCATACCTAGTTCAGTGAAGGTAGGGGGTAGTGATAGGTATTATTTTATCTACTCACTCTAGTAGGTAATACACTAAAGGGTATTCCTAACTACATAGGTACCTAACTATCTAGCTTTCCTAATTTGAGTACCTACTTTAGCTCATTGAATTCTTGAAATGATCCGAGAAATTATCCCTTTCTTGTTGTTACAGATTTTATAAATCAAGTCAGCTTACCTTCACATTTCAAGGAAGAAAAAGGACGCCTGGGCAATTTTCCACAAAAAAGTCCACTCACATTTTCGAATGAAATTCAAAATCAAACAAACGAAATCACCGGAAAGAGTATCAAAACAAAACAAAAATCACCTGTCAGTCTGTCACAGCACCCCTTTCTCTTTACTTTTGATTTGATCAGTCAAAAGTCAACACTGTCACCGGAAAGGAAGGTTCGATCACTGAAAGAAATAATTTTCTTGGGAAGTACCTCGATTTATCTCCAAAGAAAAGAACACGGCTTATTATTAATGAAGTTCAGACGAAATTTTGGGCTTGGAAGACAAAGAACGTATACATGAAGATCGTCGACGACTGTCTGTTCCCGTTGGCGGACAAAAACAGAATAAACAGGATTAGTAAATGAGAAGAGAAGGAAAGACGGCTAAAAAGTGCATGTTGGAAAAGGAAGGAATCAGGCATGCGTGAGACAAGAGCATAAATATTTTCATTACAGCTCCCTTCGCCATCTATTGAAAATTTCATGATACGGAGCGTGTATTCCGTTTCGTTTAGCCTGTGAAAAAGCCATTTGGAAGCAGTTCTCTGTGACCGTTCATCTATAACGACAATAGATTGATAACTAGTGACACAGCCATCTTCAACTGAGGTAATCTTATTTTCCATCCTATGCAGAAATCATTAATCGACGATTAGTACCCTTTGACATTGATAAATGGTATTATTTAAACTTTTTCATTTTACGAGATTTTCGTATTGATAATTTTCAAATTTGACATCCTGTATATATGTAATATTAGTAACATATTATATAGTATAAATTATATTTAATTAATAATTATCTGCTGTTTGTTACTTTACCAACAAGGAATTTGTTGACAACTAGGTATTCAAATAATAAGCACTTTTAGTTGATTATGGATTATTCTCCAGGGTTATTATTTGAATGTTCTCATCTGAGAATGTCTCAGAAAAATACTAGGGTGTAAAAGTGATGTATTCCTGGGACAATTTTAAGAAAAAATTAATGTCTAGATAAACTTGTGTCCGAAAATGCTCCGTTTCGGAGATACAGGGTGTTGAAATTGAACTTTTTTGTTTGCCAAATTTTAATGCACCATTGATGGGAGTGCTCAGCCGCCAAAATATAGGTATTATGTGCTTGAAAATCCCTATCAAGGAGGATGAGTTTTTCAAGCACTTCCCAAGTATCTGACCACAAACTAAAAATTGTGTGCATTCAAAGTTTGCTGGATAATCATCAGAATATTGTTAGAACAGTCCTGAACCCTTGAAAATTGAAATGAAGGAGATTATTCCCTACTTTTGAAATATGTACATTTTATTTATAGCAATATGAATAATAATTTTTGAAACTAATACACAGGTACACTGTACACTAAGACACCCAACTATTCCTTCCAGAATAATCTTCCACTGTCAGTGATTTGCACCTTCTAATTTTCACAGTCAATTTGTTCTCTGTCTGCACTGATGACAATATTTCTAACCTAGCTACTGTTAGAAAATTTGGATTATCCACATTGACACCCTTTATCATATCAATTTCATCACCTTCTTGAACAGTAATGCTCTTTTTGGGAACTTTTTCTCCATTCAACCTAACTTTGCTTTCATAAAACATCACCTCAATCTTGTTACGGGAGAGCCCCATTCCTGCTTTCAGAAGTGCATCCATGCGCATAGAAGGAACATTGATTTTGATTGTTTTTGTGCTTTTATCCAGTAAATCATCTATGGTGTCATCACTGCTATCTTTCTCAGTTTCTGTCTCTGTAGCATGACTAGGTATATTGCTCTTGTTCCCTTTGCTTTTGTACCTAAGAAGTTGGAGGTTAGGTTGTGAAATCTTGTTTAATAGAGGTATTGAGCACCTACTGTATGGCACTTGTCCTGAAGGCACTTCTAGGAATAACTGGATAGCATTTCTAGTACACAATCTCCTGATAGATAACATTTCTCAAATTATAGAACTGAGATTTTTTTCCAGGCCTGTATCTTAAGTACTATAAGTACCTATCTTCAGTTGATTAGAATATAATATATTAGATTTTCGGATGGAATGGACATCTCTGGCCTCACTAGTTTTTAATAGAATTTATGATACCACAATGTTGTATGACTCAATGAAGCTGCTGCTAGGAGTTTAGATGCCTGTTGCCTCTCACATCATTTACTTGATCTGGACATTAACAACCGAATATATTATTTATTATTCTCTGCTGGTAGCCTCTTAAAATTCCAGAAGAAATGAATTATTTTTAGTTGAAATTCAAGTCCTTCAACCTTCAACAACAAACCACAAACCCGTCTGTCCCGTCCCGTCTGCCATCTGTCGATCTGTCGTCTGTCCCGTCCAGGGCTGTTCCTGACCAAAAATATATAGTACTAAATCACACTTTCAAAAGATACTAGAACTGAGAATTTAGTACTGAATCTAAATTTTCCTAAAATTTGCTGCCCCCGAGGTGCTTGCATAGTTTTCGTTCATAAATTCAAGCCATCAAATAACAAAATATATAAGTGTTATGATTTCACCATATGAAAATATCGAAATGAAAGATGAAAACATGAAAATCTACGAAAGCGTAGAAGCGCCACATGATATATTTTTTTAATAATTGACAGATATAACTGTCAACTAGCCTAATTGACAGATACTAAGTCGTAAGTAGTATACTTGACAGATACTAAGTCGTAAGTAGCATACTTGACAGATACTAAGTGGTAAGTAGTATACTTGACAGATACTAAGTCATAAGTAGCATACTTGACAGATACTAAGTGGTAAGTAGTATACTTGACAGATACTAAGTCGTAAGTAGCATACTTGACAGATACTAAGTGGTAAGTAGTATACTTGACAGATACTAAGTCGTAAGTAGCATACTTGACAGATACTAAGTCGTAAGTAGGATACTTGACAGATACTAAGTGGTAAGTAGTATACTTGACAGATAGGCCAAGAAACTCGCCATCGCCAAGAAACAAAGAAGATTAAGAAGAAGGAGAATACAATGCCGACATAATAACCCTAACCAACAACAATGGATTAGGGAGACAAGATAGGTTGAAAATCACTTCGGATTCGGAATCAGGACGTCCAATTTTTGCATGACAATGTTTAAATTTATATATTAAATAACAATTTGCTCAATTCCCAACAATTTACTTCAGAATCAAAATCTGCATCATGTACAGGGCCATTTTTGTACACAGGGAGTTTCTTAAGTACGTGTACAAAATTCAGGAGCATATGTTGCTGACGTCAAAATAAAAATAAAAGTTTTTATAAACATATGTCCACAAGTTATTCGTTTCTGAGATACAGAGTGTCAATAGAGTTTCATTGTCATTCCGGTTTTTGGTGAATTCGAGTGAGATACCAAATTTATTCCCAAAAAACAGGAATAAGAATCCTTTGACACTCGACTGTATCTCAATAATGAATAACTTGCGGACATATATGTTTATACGAACTTTTCTTCTTATTTTGACGCCAGCAACATGCTCCTGATTTTTTTACACGTACTCAAGAAACACCCTGAATATTTAAAGAGCTTCGCTACAGGGTTTATCATTGAAGATAGAAACAAACTTCAAATACAAAAGTTGTAGGGTATGTTCTCAACATCCAGAAAATTGTACGAGGTGAAATATAAAGACCCAAAAATACCATAATATTTAGAGAAACCTAAATACGTATTTCAGCAACTAAATTGCCCAGTAAACCATTTTGTGTTTCTGAAACGTTCCTGAAACAAACTTTGTGAAATATGAAACATTTCACCTATATACTCCGAAACATTTATGAGACATTCTAGAGACCATAAATGACCTAGGGTGTGTAATGTTTCATTGGAATGTTTCAACCCAAATCTCCATGAAACATTCAATAAAGAGTATACATAAAAATCTCTGAGGTATTTCACTATTGCATTTCATGAAACGTTTCACAAATAGTGTCTTCGAAACATTTCCTTATTGCACTATTTGCAACATTTCCAACATGACTTTTTTGAAACATTTCCGATACATCTCACTTTCGCTGATAATGGAACATTTCAAATATGAAACCATTTTTAGTTCATACCAAGACTACATTACCACAGAAGTTAATCACTTACTCATAATGAAAGTGAACCCTAATTAACATCATGTGTAATGTACTCAATTGGTATTAATTTAGGTATATGGAGAAAAACAGGGTGAATAAAATAAAACTGCAGCATTAGTGGATTTTATATTATGAAAACTTATTAAATTATAATAAAAAACCATTTCATTTCATATTTGCCCTTTCTCTAGCTTACCTGAGACCAGATTGGCGGAACCAGGCTGCTACATATCTTTCGAACTCCACGTCCGTCACAGCAAACCTTTTTCTGACAGCACCTGAAAAAATTTTGAGATTTATTTGAATTTATTTATTTGAATTTATTGAATTTCAACCGCCTTTCTATGCAAAATAACCTGAAATTTCATATTTTTACATCAAGAGACCGGCATAACAATGTACAAAAAAGTTGAGGTTATTTTTGCCACTACCGCCCTACCTTCTATGTATTCAATTTTGGGCCGATTTTCATTCCATTCAATCAAGCATCGAATATTAAGTGAATGTACAGGTAAACCCACTCACCTTTTTCATATTCGTAGTTGTCATTATTAACTTTTAACATTAGCACTACCACCATCAGGCAATATCAATGGACGCTAAAAATGGCTTCACCGGAATTAGAATAACAAAAGAAAGAATGGCTTCATATTTGTGTTCACCCACTCTCTTCTCGGACTGGACAGTCGGAGCAAGTCGGAGCCGGCCGTGCTTGGTTCGGACTGTCATATTATGCCGATGTTGCCAGAGTAACCACCCGTCTTCATTGGTCACACTCAAGCATGTGATTCATTATAGCCAATAAAACGGAATCATGAACCTGGCAACGTCGAATATGATGCATTTCAAACAAATAGTAAACATATGTATTGAAACATTCCAGATATGTTCCACGTCACGCATAACAACTGAGAAATATTTCACATACGTAAACATGGCGATGTTTCAGATGACACGTCTAGAGATTCACGTGAGACATTTCAAGCAGAGAATTTTTGTAACGAATATGAAACGTATGTAGTGACATATTTCTGAAATATTTCACATAGCATGGAGAGCCTCAGAAACTTTTCCTTTATGTTAACATTGAAATGTTTCAAAATGACGCGTCTAGAGATTCACGTGAGACATTTCAAGCAGAGATTTTTTGAAACGAATGTGAAACGTATGTATTCACATATTTCTGAAATATTTCACATAGCATGGAGAGCTTCAGAAATGTTTTCTTCATGTTAACATTGGAATGTTTCAGATGACACATCTAGAGATTCACGTGAGACATTCCAAGCAAAGAGTTTTTGTAACGAATATGAAACGTCGTATGTATTGACATATTTCTGAAATATTTCACATAGCATGGAGAACTCCAGAAATGTTTCCTTTATGTTAACATTGGGATGTTTCAGATGACACGTATTAGGGAACTTTTGAAATGTTTCTGAAACGTGTTGTGTTTACTGGGTGCCAACCTGTAAAGTAAAAATGATTAGCAATAACTCCTTCGCTTTATCTTTCGGATATTGTCCAGAGGTCGACCTGCAATATCCGAAAGATACTAAGGAGTCAGCTAATATGCGAGTCAGCTAATCATTTTTACTTTACAGGTCTACTGAGGATGGCAACTTAGTTTCCAAAATACGTATTGTGATATTTTTTGGTCTTTTTATTTTGTATTTTATTACTTATAACCAGTCTCCAAATCTTCACTGTACGAGGTGCTGATATAAGAAATGGCTACCAACTTCGTTATTTTAAATGGAACACCCTATACATATTTTTCGAATGAATTGAGAATCCTCCTTTTCTGATTTCAAAAATATATAGGTTGTTGACCCGGTTCAGCCGTTCATGAGGCTTTACGAGGTCGAACACTAAGAATTAGAAAAAAAAATGTCATACAAGCTTATGCAGTATTTTGTTGTATTAATATGTTACAGTTGAATCATCATTGATAAGTCGACTAGCTCTGAGCCAGTATCTGTCAAGTATGCTACTTACGACTTAGTATCTGTCAAGTATACTACTTATCACTTAGTATCTGTCAAGTATGCTACTTACGACTTAGTATCTGTCAAGTATACTACTTACGACTTAGTATCTGTCAATTAGGCTATTTGACAGTTATATCTGTCAATTATTAAAAGAAATTCATCATGTGGCGCTTCTACGCTTTCGTAAAAATCAACTGATCAAAGTAATGAAAATATTTTCAAAATGGAAGAAATGGATAGAACTCGTGAGAAAAATGAACTGGAACATTCATTTTCACCCACTTGGCGAACAATGTGAACCCGATGATCTCAAAACTCATTTAGTACCAGATTTAATCTAAAAGTACTTTGGTACTGAACATCTTCGAATAGTACTAAATCTAGTACTGAAATTATGTGATCGCAAGACGTCACAAGTGTCACAACACAATCTGTCCAATCACGATATCACGAAGGGAGCATCCCGCGATGCCCAATTCCCAGGAAGCCCAATTCCTACGATGCCCACCGTAGGAATGTATGAAAAGTGGGAATGGTGGTAATTGGGCATCGTGGGAATGTATGAGAAGTGGGCATGGTATGAATCCAAGGAAGGTGGGCATGGTAGGAATTGGGTAACGTGAGAATCTCATATGGAAAATCTATGAGAAGTTTGCGTGGTGGGCATGGTGGGAATTGGGCATGGTGGGAATTGGGCATCGTGGGAATTAGGCATCGCAAAGTTTTATGTCTGATCGTTGTATTTTGTTTCCTTTTTGGTTATTATGGCATATAGTGTATAGGGATAAGTTTATACATGGTATCAATAATGGTCTAATAATTCAACTCCGTGTGGTGGTCTATCCGTGTGGTGGTCGGATTAGAATAACCCCACGGTAAGTCCTGCCTGTCGTAGAAGGCGACTAAAAGGACGCCAATAGGTGGAAGATGGTTAACGCCATCGCCCGGTGCGATACCACCACATCAACCATAGGCACTGTGAAATGGGTATACTTACCCGTGTTTCAGTAGCTGGTTGATGTTCCGGCCAACCCAACCCGACCCAATTTCCTTTTCCTTCCACGCCAACCTCCCTTTTTTATACAGAATACGCGATGATGAGTTCTCCTCAAGTAAAATTATCCGGAAGTAAAATACCTCTCCATTCGGATTTCCGGGCGAGAGGTGCTAGAGGGGGTTCACCATCGGCTGAAAAAGTCCTCAAGATAGACCTATGTAACATCCGAGGTCTGAGTAAGAACATCAACGATGTCCATCGACACCTTCAAATTGAAAAGCCAGACATATTGGCCCTCACTGAGACACAGGTCAATTCATCCACCAATACGACTTATCTGCTCTGTCCTGGGTACGAACTCCACACACGTTTCAGATTCAAGGGAGGTCTCTGCCTCTACTCTAAAACGAATCTCTCATGTCAACGAGAAAAAACTTTGGAACCAAATAAGTTTGATGTCATGTGGTTCAAACTCGATAGCCAGAAACAGACCAAATACCTTTGTTGTCTATACTTATCACCAAATGATCCATCCTATGAAGAGCTCTTCGAATTCTTGTCTCTGAAGCTTGATCAAATTCAACAGAACCATCCAGCAGCAGAAATCATCATCATGGGCGATTTCAATGTACACAACACTGCTTGGCTCGTACACTCTAACAGAACGGATGAAGCTGGACGACAAGCCGAAGCCTTCGCCATCACTCACGGCTTAGAGCAGCTTATCAAAGAACCCACACGAATTCCCGATGCCAATAACCATTCAGCTAACATACTTGACTTATTCCTGACTAATAATTCAGCACCCTACACCATAGATGTACGAGCTCCACTTGGCAATTCTGACCACACACTCATCTCCACAACCTGCCCATTTTTCATTCCATCAACTGCTCCGGCACCCCCACGTCTTATATGGCATTACAATTCAGGAGATTGGGACGGTCTCCGCATGTTTTTCTCCGAGTTTCCTTGGCATAGAGTATGCTTTGACTCTGAGGACCCTTCACAGTGTGCTGCGGAAATATCCGAGATCATCATGCTCGGAATGGACACATACATACCTCATTTTTCGAAAAGATCATCACCTTCGAAACCCTGGTTCAACAAAAACTGTTCTAGAACTGTTGCCTTGAAACAAACAGCCTACCATCGCTGGCGCAAAAACCCTAACCTCGCGACTAGAGCAGAATACGTTGATGCCAGGAATAACTGCAGCCAAACAATAGATGCCTCGAAAGAAACATACAATGCCAAGATAAGATCGAAACTGATAGATTGCCCCAATGGCTCCCGTTCGTTTTGGTCCCTTGCTAAAGCGGTCGGAAGAAATTTCACTAATAGTTCATTTCCACCACTGTCCAAATCCGACGGCACACTAGCAACAACATCGCAGGAGAAAGCAAATATTTTTGCAGAGATGTTCGCAGCAAACTCTACTTTAGATTCCCAAGGAAAACTGCCGCCAGACATTCCACCCGTTGAGAGTCGAATGCCCGAAATCGTCTTCCGTCAACGCACTATCAGACGAATTTTGCTTGGTCTCAAAACGAATAAGGCTAACGGTCCTGATGGAATTCCACCCATTATCCTCAAAAAATGTGCACCAGAATTAACACCGATTCTCTGCAAGTTGTTTACCATCTCGTACAGGTCGGGTATTTTTCCATCATGCTGGAAGACAGCTAGAGTCCAACCAATCCCCAAAAAGGGAAACAAGAACCTGCCCAACAACTACAGGCCCATTGCCCTGTTATCAGTAATCTCCAAAGTGATGGAGAAAGCCATCAATATTGAGCTCATCAAATATCTGGAGAGCTCAGGAATCATCAACGATCGACAATACGGCTTTCGCCACCGAAGATCTACTGGAGATCTACTTGCCTACGTCACCCATTTATGGCAATCTTCAATAGAAAAACACGGGGAATCTCTAGCTGTCGCGTTGGACATATCGAAAGCATTCGACCGTGTTTGGCACGAAGGACTCCTCCACAAACTACCATCATACGGCTTACCACCTCAGCTATGCCATCTCTTATCGAGTTTTCTTTCAGGCAGATCGCTTCACGTGGTGGTGGACGGTGTATCATCTGATACCTTTGGCATCAATTCCGGCGTTCCACAAGGATCAATTTTGGCACCAACATTATTCCTGCTTCATATCAACGATCTGTTGGGAGTAACAACTTGCCCCATCCACAGCTTTGCAGATGATAGTACCCTCCATACTGCGTTCTCTTCCAGAATTCCCATTTCTTCCCAGGAAACTAAGAACTCACGGCGCAGGCAGGTCAATGCTGTCAATGAAGATCTTGCAGAAATCACAGCCTGGGGAACAAACAACCTAGTTGAATTCAACGCCACCAAAACTCAAGCCTGCATTTTCTCTAGAAAGGCGGAACTCAGTATGCCCGATATTGTAATGTCTGGCTCCACCATCCCCACCAAACCCACCATATCTATGCTCGGTATTTCCATCAGCAACACTCTTTCATGGGATAATCATGTCAGATCCATCGCAAAAGCTGCTTCACAAAAACTCGGATTCTTGTTCCGTGCGAAAAGCTACTTTACACCTCAACAGCTTCTCATGATCTACAAAGCGCAGATACGGCCTGTTCTAGAATACTGTTCCCACATATGGGGTTCAGCACCAAAACATACGCTGATGCTCTTAGATTCCATCCAGAGAAGAGCCATTCGCCTGGTGGGTGACGCCACACTCACTCACTCTTTGACATCATTGGAACACCGTAGAAAGGTCGGCGACCTTTCACTTTTCTATCGATACTTCCACGGAAAATGTTCTTCGGAAATCTCTGCTATCATCCCTTCACTAGCAATACCAATCAGACGAACTAGACAAGCCCAGTCAGCACATCCTTTCGTTGTCAACCTCGAAAGATGTCGAACAGCACTTTATCAAGACTCCTTCATCCATAGAACGGCTAGGCTCTGGAATTCATTGCCTGTGGAAGTATTCCCAACAACATATAATCTCCAAAAGTTCAAAAAAAATTCCAATACCTACCTCCTGTCCCTTTCCTCCCTAGGAACGCACGATGTTCTTTGAACATTATAGGGATTCCCTTTCGTGCGCTCCAAGCGATAAAAAAAAAAAAAAAAAAAAAAAACTAGAGCCTTTATCAATTATTTTTGGGAACAGTGGAACTGAAATATTTTTCTATTACTTAGTTGAATCTTTATTTGTTCTAACAAGGCTCATCATATATTCTACCGTCTACAAAAATACTGGCAAATTGGTGATGTACAAGATAAATACAATCCTGGAAATAAATAATGAAATCATATGTACAAGTTACAAGTATTTTTTTGAAATGTTGACCCAATCAACAGGTAAAATTATTGGAAGAGTTAACAAAACAAATATGTACCCAATTTTCATTCAGGTAAACGAGAAATAAATATTAATGGAAATGTCCAAGACATCTCTGTTTATGACTTCACTAGAATGGATGAAACTAGATTCATTTATCAAATTTTTACAAAGTATACAGATTGAACATAGGAAATAGAAGTAAGGTATCATAAATTCAGGTTTTCGAGATATTTTGAAAAAACTAAAAATGTTGCATTCTCTCCCATTCCTTAGACAATATTATGTTCCCAGAGAAATTGAAAAACAGTTGTCAATTAGACAATCCAACTTAGGTTAGAATCAATATATGACGCCAGGGTGTCTCAAAATTATATAGAAATATTTCAACCACGGATTCTAGGAACAAAAATAGTGAAAAAAGATCATAATAATATAATCAATTCAAGGTGGATAGATTATGGTGTAATCACAGACAGTGTTTTGATCCGCCCAAAACGCTTGACCGCACAGATTCCGCAATAATGGCATATTAGTTCTCAGTTGTCCGCAAGATGGCGACACTTTTTACAGATTTCTTTCAGGACAGAAAACAGAAAACGACGCTTACACACCGCTTGCACCAGAAATAATAATATCATAACATTCATAACATAACCTTAAATCAAATGAGATTGAATTTGAAAGTACCAAACTGTAATTTTGGGGAATTTTAATCATCATCAGTTCTACTAACCTTGAATTTTCGTTGAAATTTCGCCATCTAATGGGTAAAATGAGACCTATATTCCGCGATATTGGAAAGAATTCTTCAGTCAAGTAGGCCGTAGGTCGAGAACTTTGACCGAAAAACAGTAGATGGGATTTGATAGGGAGTTTCTACACCATCTTCTGTTCATCCTGATTACCTTATAGGGTGAACAAAAAAAAAGAACCTAGCTTTTCGTAATCACCGCAAACATTCAACTTGAAAATCTACTTGTGTGGCATGATAGAAGAGCTCATGTCATTGACGAGGAAATTATAGACGAAATTCGACTTTCCCCTGCTGGCTTGCGGTTTGGAATTCCTGATTTGGTCTCGGAGCAGGATGTCCCCGAACAAGGAGGCAAGCGTTTTGGCATCGTAGCCGTTGTCATTGGAATACTTGAGGATTTCCTGCAGGAACATGCAGATGTACAAGAAGACGTTGCGGTGAAGGTCTGATACTTTCTGGAGAACGATCTGAAAATTTAGCAATGGTCACACAAAAACATAAACATAACAATTTTTTTGTTTCCACCATGAATAAGTCGTGCAAGAATTATTATCTAGTGAATATCGACAAGACATACAAGGTTATTTGACCCAATGTGTTTTGCTTCTTGCAAAAAGGCAAAAATTTCTTCTTAAGAAGAAATATGGAGTGTCGAAAAAGACCAGAAACCTTCTTTTCCGCCTGTCTTCTGGATTGAATTTAAAACAATTTACCCTTCTTTTTTCATCATTGGACAATTTATATAATATCACAATGTAAGACACATTTTTTTCTATTATTGAGTCAACTAGAAATATGATTTTCTTGTGATTTATCCATATTTATTGAAAAGAAGGAAGAATAACATTTGAAATAATGGCGTGTGTAATGTCATTCCAAAGCAATCTATTGACATTTGACATCTCGTATTTGGATTGCCTATGGATAAAATAATGGTCGTCATCTGGTATGCTTGCTCACTAAATAGGAAAAACTCACTATAAAAATCATATTTCCTGTTGAATTTTCTGTATAAAAATGTGGCATTGAAGTACATCATGAGTATATAAAGTGTCCAATGACAAAATAAGAAGAGCAAGTACCTGAAAATGCATCCAACGCAAGGGGAAAAAGGAGTCGAAATTTCGAACTTTTTTTTTAAATATCTCGATAAATAGTGGTTTGTTCATATTTTCATTATCAAATTCGTGTTATTCAGACAAAAATACGTAAGTACCAAAAAATTTTTTCGAAAAAAACCCATCGCATGCTAAATGCAGTTTTACCGCCCATATTTCTGGCCGCGACGTCATTAATTTTATCTCTGAGGTTTCAAAAGCAGACAGAAAAAACATTTTCCACGTATTTGAAATTTTAGTGCACAGTGGGGAAAGATTCCATGGGGTTTGAACACCTCCCAGAGCTGTCTGAAAAACTGAAAAGATCTGGTATACAGGGTCCTGCATCTCACCTCCCGTCTTTCTATAGCTCAGTTATCAGTTGAGTCAGGATTTTGATATTTTGCAGACTTCAATTGTCTCATAGGGCGCATACCAGGAATATAATTTCGATTATACTGGGTGTCCCAAAAAAGTGTGACGTCATAATGATATATATTTTTGAATAACATGCCACGTATTTTGTTGCACATTTGTGTCCTTCTAGTAGTTACCTACATACTCCTGGAATTTGATTAAAATCCGTTCAGTGATATTCACGTTGAAAAATATAACAGAAAAATTCAATTTTGCATCACTGGTCAAAAACATTGATAACAAAAGAGAGAATAGAATCGTAATAGATAAATATCATAAGAGATACATATCAAATAAGGCCTAAGAGGATCGCTAACCAAGTTTGATTGATACGAATCATCACAGGATGTGCAAAATTTAGTGGCAAACTTTTCAAATTTCAAAGCACTATATTTTTCTTATGTCGATTCGGATCCCCTGTATATTTTCATGTCATTCGATGCGTGAATAAAAAACACTCTTTTTCTCATTGCAACCCTATCAAAATTCTGATCATAGCAAAAACTCGTTTCATCAACAATTCTAACAGTCATTTGAAAGAATAAAAAACGATCGAATTTTTTAATACAAGTAGACAAAATGTTTCCATTGGCTTCCATCTTACCTGTCGACAATTCTGGAAATTACTAGCAGCGGCAATGCAAGCGTCATGGACGTCGTAAGGTATCACAGGGTCTTTGGTAAAGGACAAGAATAAGAGAAGAGTTTCTGCAACTGCCTGGACATTTCCAGCTTCAAAAATGAAAAAATGTCAAGGAAAATATGAGTATTTCAACCAATGAGTATTTTATATTTGAAAAAAATGCTAATGGTAGATGAACTGTCAAAATTAATTTCAGTTTTTTGAGGAATTATTCCCGTAACATCTTTGTAATTATTATATGATAGAAGCTTGAAGTACCAATCACACAAATAACTAATTGAATGTCTTCAGTATTTGTTTGTATGATTGAAAATGTATCAAAATATATGGAAATGAAGATAAAACGGGAAGTTCTTATTATTCCAAAGGATACGTAAAGGATCGAGAGAGCCAAAATCCAACCAATCCCTTATCCTGATGATTTCCTCATGCAATGCGCTGGATTCGAAGAGGTCTCTAGTTTTCAAACCATGCCGGTATAAATGATCGATGATGAGCCATAGTTCTCTTGGCACCGAGTATAAAACACTAGATTCACTAACATCCTGAAAATTATGTCAAATCAAAATACTGAACAGATCATTTTAGTATCACTATAATACCCAAAGAAATATTGGTGTTTATCATAGGTTTGTATGAAAGTATACACATAACAAATCATCAGAAAATAATGAACCCTCAGGCATCGATATCCGTTTTTCTTTATCAAGTTTCCGTTTTGAAGTGTCTCATTTGGCCTACCCTGTACATAACATTCTGATAAAACTGCGTACTCGGGTATTTGAGCCATGAGCAAATAGAATATTATCCAATCAGCTATTGAAATGGAATTATGCCTTCCTGATTTTTGTGATCTGATTCTGAACACAGGAGGCCAAGAAATTAATTAACTTATTTAACTGGAAAGGGTTAGACATTTCGTTATAGGTCGCGTGCACGATGACCGACCCTGGAGGTAAAATATTGAAACACAACCTCACTTTTCTGTTAAACATGGAAACACAACCTCACTTTTTTTATTTGTTTGCAGAGGAATCAGAGGATTGAAATAGTTTTTCACAATATTGTGACATATGAATCGTGTTTTTTGCGCAATTCATTTATTCGAGCATGCGTTTTCATTGTGCTGTTGTACAATACACAAAAATGCAGCGAGAGACGAAGGAATATGATTTTTCAGGTAAATAGTAATCTCACAGTTTTCATTATGAAATTTCGTCATTTCTTATTAAAATTCTTTCTGCCACTTCTGCAATATAAGCTAATACTGCTAATAGATTGAAAATGTCTTCAACACACACGATCATATTTCGTCAGCATGTCAGACCAGTCCTTCCGTTTGATTGCATGAATCCAATCTTCTTGCATTCTTTTAGAAATTTCACGAGAAATTACCAGATTTTAAAATGAAACCTATATGTGAGTGACTATAGTAGGTACTTACCTTTAATGTACCAACCGGATTCCCTCGTCTCTCGCTGCATTTTTTGTGCATTGTACAACAGTACAATGTGATGGCATGGGCGAATTAATGAATATCCGAAAAACTCGATTCGTACGCCAAAATAATTGTGAAAAACTATTTCAATCATTTGTGACCAAATAAGAAAAGTGAGGTTTTGTTCCAATGTTTCACCTCCAGGGTCGGTCATCTGACAGTTCTTGCACGCAACCCATTGCCATTTGTCAATGTCAGTTACAGCTAGTTCAAAAAACGAAGGAACCAATAAACTGTTATTACTCTAATTCTCAATAGTTAACAACACACCAGTGCGCCACACTTTGGCCTAAGCCTAAAGTGAACCCTCCATATGCAAGAAGTTTCTATACAGTATAATTTATCTATAAGCATTTTGTGAAACCCCCTTCCGCGAAATCTCTATTGACACCATTGTAGCCAACCCCCCCTCAGGGTATCACAACTTATGAGTACGGGAATGGTGAACTCTAACCGGATATTCACCATACTTCAACTTGTCTTGGGTGATATCCTCTTATCTCTTTCTTTTTCAATCTATCCTATCGGCCTTCCTTGACGAACTTCTCATTTCCTCTTCCCCTCCAAGCCCAACCTTACCATTAAGTGGTGTGGAGATGCCTCTGGGAAACAGGGCCACATCCCAGAATAAAAGCCTCACCCCTGTGCAGGGGGCAACACAGGCCTGGACTAACTCCTTCTCCCATTACTCCTAGGAGAAGGAAAACTTTTGGCCATCTTCGTAGACAAGAACAGGGAAAAGTAATCTTTGAGGATCTGAAGGAAAAGGGTCATTCATATTGAAGTGGCCCTTAACAAGCACCAGTAGTCGTCTATGGTAAAATTGACAATGGCATGTAGGTGAGATATAATATGCCACTAGGCCTAAGTGTCGTCGGAGACATCAGTTAGACAAGCATACAAACGGGGTGGAGTGTTTAGTGGGTATACCTTGGACTCCATGAAGGATTTTAACCACCTCGACAAAAAAAAATTGTAGCCAACCTAACAATACAAAATGTCTAACCCTTGAAATTATGGTCAATTGTTCTAAATTTGTTCTGAGTAAAACATTTCGGAAAAGATATATTTGAACCGTTCAATCTACTCCAGAATACGAGAACTGTATGATATAATAGTGGTAACTGAAATCATGTCATAATCGATATGGAAAGTCTAAGTGAAAAAATAAAATATTCACCTTCAGTGCCAATCGCCACTGTTCATCTGTCACCTGCATTATTGGCACAGATATCCTGCAAAGTGTTGATATGGAAGTGGTGAAAGAGGATTTTTGACAATCGCCATTGATGATAATGAACATATCTTTGCCTCCTTTCAAATGCAACACTAGAATATCGTAAATCTTTGTTAAATCGGTCTCGAGACACACCTCAAGTTTAACATCACATTTTTCCCCTAAAATTACAAAAATATCTAATTAATATGTGACCATTCGGAAGCCTAATCGAAAATGAACTGTAAAATAGAGTTTGAGCTTTACCTGGATTGATGCTTCCACAATATGGAATGATTCTAAGCCAGTCTTTGCAATAACTGTTTTCATCTAGTTTCTTTATAAATTCAAATTCAGCTGGCACCTGGAACAAATAGGTGAAATAACCTTCTAGTTTGGGTGTATCACGTACCAATCAATAATAGTAATGATCATTGTCTGCTAAATATGGAGAAAAACCAGAGGATGTTACCGTATCGGGCGAAAATTTTCGAAATTCGTGGTTATGTAAGTTGTCAGTGTCAAGAGCTGTCGTGCCATCGTGACTTGTATTGCATTTTTCTTGAAAAAAATCTTTCTTTTTCAATTCTCATTGTTCTAATATCCCTTTCATTTATAGATATAGTTTTGTATTGTGCTCCCAGTATTATAGTTTATTCTGATTGATGATTTGTTACAAACTCTGTCTCTCAATTGTGCCTACCAGAAAGTGTGAAACCGTCTCCATTCATAGATCTCCAAGTGATATTCTTTTTCGAAATAAGTGAATACATTCGATATTGAGTGTTGCAGGCTCATTACAAGTGAGATAATCAGAGCCCTGATGATCAAAAGCTAATAATCGATACTACTCATTCTACCTCTCATTTAATTTAGGTGTTGAACGTTACGAAATTGGGGACTATTGTAGTGTCTGTAGCAACCATTTTGAGAAGGAATGATTTTTTGAATTTTTGAGTGACTGAGTGACCGTGACCCGTGACCATGTCGTGATACTGAACTCAAACTCACTGAACAAAAAACTACGCGGCAGGCCGAGAGTACCGAGATCACCGCTGAGGGAGCTGCTCAACTCGTTTACGATTTTCAAGGTTATGTAGCGTTGACAGGAAGACAATTGAAATAAGTGTTTCCTCGAGTTGACCGTATGGCGGAACTACTGTATCGGCTACAGAAACCTGTAAGTGATTTCCCTTGTTTGAGCAGACCAGATACTACAGCTCACTAGATTTTTTCTCCATATTCCAGCAGACAATGGTAATGATAAACCAAACTATCATGATATATTCCAAAGAGAATCATTTTCAATGTCAGTTCAATTTTATTTTAATTCATTAGCAAACCCAAAAAATTTTAAGAAAGAATCGGTGAACTTAGATAAATACTTGATTATACAGGGTGTTGCTGATAGTAATACCAAGCATCGAAATGGATGTCTTCAAAGGTATGGTTACTCCTGACATGCTGATGTTTGGCACAGTGAGATCGGCTTTTCTAGAGAAAAGGCATGCTTGTGTTTTGTTTGCATTGAAATCTACCGAGTTATTGGATCCCCATTCGAGAATTGTTGCCAAGTCCATATTTATGTTGTCAACATTTCTCTTTCGTTCGTTTCTGATTTGCCTGGCTGTTATTGGAGCCCTGGAAGAGAAGGCGGTATGGAGGGTACAATTATCCGCGAAGCTGTGTACTGGACATGCAGTTACTTCCAACAAATCGTTGAAATGGAGTAGAAATAGTATTGGTGCTAGAATTGATCCTTGCGGAACACCAGCATTTATGATAAGAGAGTTTGATGAAACTCCGTCGACCACTACATGGAGAGACCTGTTTGAGAGAAAACTAGCTAGCAGAGAATACAGCTGGGGAGGCAAGCCATAAGATGGAAGCTTGGCGAGGAGTCCGTGGTGCCAGACTCGATCGAATGCTTTGGAGATATCAAGTGCCACGGCTAAGGTTTCATCATATTCTTCAATAGATTGCTGCCATATATGTGAGACGTAAGCGAGTAGGTTACCAGTTGATCTTTGATGACGGAAGCCATCTTGCCTATCGTTGATAATACCTGAATGTTCCAGGTATTTCATGAGCTCGATGTTGATAGCTTTCTCCATGATCTTTTGAATAATAGATAGCAGTGCGATCGGTCTGTAGTTGCTAGGTAGGGTCTTTTTGCCTTTTTTAAAAACTGGTTGTACTCTTGCAATTTTCCAGTTGGACGGAAATATCCCTAATTTGTAAGAGTAGTTGAACAACTTGCAGAGAACAGGTGTTAGTTCGGGAGCACATTTCTTGAGAACAATCGGTGGGATTCCGTCGGAGCCACAAGTTTTGTTGGTGTTGAGACCCAATAAAATCTTCCTTAAAGGTGATCTCGGGCATAATATGACTGTCACTTTATAGTGAAATATCTTAATAAATAATGGTTTGTTCACATTTTCATTATCAAACTCGTGTTTTTCAGACAAAAATACGTAAGTACCAAAAAAAAAATCCGAAAAAAAGTGCAAAATTATCCAGACTTTAGTTTATGCACGCACCCTCAGAAATCGATCAACTCACCATCCCCGTATTGGCTATCGTGATCTCCCTGGTCTGCCGCTCCCGGAACTTGACCAGCTCGAAGACCACCTCCGTCTGGTCGACCGTCACCTGCGGCAAGTACTCGTTCTCGTACTTGTCCATCTTCTTGAGCAGCTCCTCGTGCACCCGCCGGTACTTGGACGGATCTACCACGCTGATCTCCGACTTGAAGAGCGCACTCACCGGCTTGTGGTCGCTGAGGCGCAGGTCCATGTGGCTGCGGTACGCCACTTGGTACACGCCTCGAGGGAGATAGAGACAGTTTGAAATCAATTTATTTCTAGTTAAAATATAATGAAAACTCTCCAAGTCTTCTCCACAACGTTTAATTCCAAATTTAAGAAGGAGGGGACATGTTTCGGACACAAAAGGTATCCATCATCAACACCTCGAGGAAGAGAGAGACAGTTTGAAATCAATTTATCATGTTTCGAACCCAAAAGGTATCCATCATCAGCCAGAAAGAAATTATTCTACAAAGAACATAAAAAACCACTACAAAGAACATAAAAAAGAACATAAAAAACCACTAAGTAGGTATATCAAGTAACAGATTGGTACTCACGTGGAGAAGAAAAAGGCAAAAACATGGTTATGATTAGCATGGTCAAACGATTATTGTGATTAGTTTGACTTCTCGTAATTTCTAAAATATTGAACGAATTTTGAATTGCCGCCCAGATTCTGAATGCCTTTTTCATCGTCTGTCGAACCGTTCCTTACAGCTTCTTCTAAATTGATCAGGACCCGTGATACAGGGTGAAACAAAGTTTCGTGCATTTTGAAAAAAATTTCTCCGCCCCCCATTTTGTCAGAAGACCACGATGCTAATATTTTATTCGGGCATCTCATGAACAGCAACCATACCTCGGGACGTTTTCGAGTTTCTGCCAAAAACTACTGTGGTTTCCGAAAAAAAAAAATTTTTTTTGCATTTTTTTTAAATGGACTAATTTTAGAGAAGTTCCATAAATGGATGCTTTTATGCATTTCAGGAAATCGTTGGAGCAGATATGTATACCAGGTTACTCAAAAACAATCAATAATTTATTACTTTCTATGATGAAAGTTTTCTACCTTAGTGAGCAGTAAATCAACACATCTCATCAACAAATACAAAACAAGGATACCTTGTTTTTATAACAGCGAATTGTTGAAACAATGTAGGTATGAATAGAGGTTATATCAATTGCCAATTTTCATGAAAACGTCAGTGTAATTCGGGTCCTAAAAAATTTGAAGATGCCTCGTTCAAATCGGGTCGAAATGGAAAATATCATTAGGTAAGATCACTCTAGTGATATAAACTATAATTCAGTACGAGTTCAATACAGATAATTATTATTTCAGGTTACGACGATTAGGATATACCCAAACTCATTTAAGTACCATTTTCAATAAGTCAGTCATGACAATAAAGAGACTGATTCATCGTTTTGGTGATACAGGTAATTAGTCCATCATTTAAAAAAAAATGCTAAAAAAATTTTTTTTTGGAAACCACAGTAGTTTTTGGCAAAAAATCGAAAACGTCCCGAGGTATGGTTGCTATTTATGAAATGCCTGAATAAAATATGAGCATCGTGGTCTTCCGACAAAATGGGGGGGCGGAGAAATTTTTTTCAAAATGCACGTAACTTTGTTTCACCCTGTATCATGGATCCTGACCAATTTAGAAGAAGCTGTGAGGAACGGTTCGAAAGACGATGAAAAAGGCATTCAGAATCTGGGCGGCAATTCAAAATTCGTTCAATATTTTAGAAATTACGAGAAGTCAAACTTGATGCCAAATTTCACTATTAACGTTTCAATTGACGCCCAGTTTAGTTCGTGAATCCTAATCAAACTCACCTTTGCCTCTCCACAAAATTCTGTCAGTCCAAGCTGGAGGTCTGGCCTTTTCACTTGTATCAAACGTATCGGTGTTCAAATCGTATTTGTATGTTGGCTGGAATTTTATGTCACCTTCCTCATAATCCTATTCAACAAACATAAACAAGTGTTAACCACAATCAGTGAATAAACCGAGACGACTCATAAACTGATTTGGGAATCACCATTGTCCCATTGTGTAATGCATTGTTGTATTCAAGATAATATACCGTGTGATGAGAAAGTTAGGAACAAAATTGTTTTACAAGTTTTCAGAAATACCTCAGTCAGGTCAAGATGTTTTTTATTGTGTATTATTTGAACAATAGAAATAGGTAAATGAGGCATTACGAATTTTATATAAATGACTAACTATTTGATATCAGTGGAATATTTGTCATTCAAGTCCATACTGGGCCAATAGGCATATATCACAAAAAAAAATTATTTCATAATTCCATAGAACTCACCCAAACTAGCTCACCACCGCAAACCGTTTCTTGCTGTGAGCTCCCTACGTTTTATAAAAAATTATTGCAATCCCCGATTTTTCGGACCTCTGAAAACGAGGCGATGATATGACGTCAAAACCCTAATACTGAAACAAGACTATTCCAGACAGAGATGAATGATAGAGTGAATCAGCGCGAGATCACAGTTGAAAGAATTAATATATCAGTTGCCTCAGTCTCCGTCGGGCGTTAGGTATTTTCTTTTAACTATGGCGAGATGAGCTTTCTACGTCATAAGAGTGTCCGTTTTCAGAAGGTACTATTATCAAATTATATCGTCAATCATCATTTATGTATAAAAGGATCATTATAAACATGGTTTGAGTTGAAAGTTCTACTAAGGTGTACACGCCCATTTCATAAGAAAATCTTTCCTGTTTCTTTCAAGTCAAAAAAGTCGAACTGTATACATAAAAAGTAAGCGTAAGAACCCTCCAGAAGTGTCCAATTTGTCCAACCTTGAACCTTGAACATGCGAACAGTTATCAAAATGAAACAATGCCTAATATGGTTTCCCGATTTTTGTAATTTTGATCAAACAAGGCCATGAAATGATTAATCATATACCTACTCAATTCATAGACTATTTGATAGGTGATTTAGTCTTTTTGAGAAATACATTTAGATAATAATTTTTGGAATCAATTCCAATTCCCATGTTCATTTTGTCACTTGAATTTGAATATTTGATTTCATGAACTAACAAAGTTAACAGCGGGTTACTCCTGGGTCACCTGGTATAGTGTATAGAATCGGTTTATATAACAAAACTAACCCATACTTAATTCACTTGATAATCAAACTATCACTGTGACTACTTCATCCAGCTAGTGTAGAACACACATAGAATTGGCACTGATGTTAACGGCGAAAAATATGCAAACAATAGCATTCAAATTTTGTTTGAACACAGCTTGTCTTGATAAGAAACAGTGAAACATCACCTTCGATGAATCATCACTTCTGATTGTTATTGAAAGGCATGATGTGAATAGTGAATTATAATTAAAATTGAACATCATTAGACAATTTGCACTGTTACATATAAAGGCAAGAGATAGAGAGAGCGACAGTGAGAGAGGGAGAGACACAGAAACAGAGAAATAGGTGAGATTTAAGAGGATAACGTGAGGTTATGACCTATCGAGAATCGAGAAGTTGAAGTATTTCAAAGATTAATTATTACATTTATTTATAAACTTAGATATCTACGAACCCTCATCACCAATGTTCCTTTCAAAAAATTATTGGGCATTCTGAATACGAAATATGCCACTATTCAATTAACTAATAATACCAGTAATATCAAAACATTGTGAAACTGATGGGACTAGGACAACTATTAGGTATATGAGCTCTTTAAAAAAGTTTCTATACTATTAGGAATTTTCCACAAAAAAATCTATGACCCGAGTTTTTAGTTGCTGGATATTAAAAACATGAAAAAAATGCTGATGACCCTTCCCCGCCCAATAAAAAGTAAACATCTAAACTTGAAGCTAGCCCTTTTGTACATCACAGAGTGCTGTCAGTTTCATGGAAAAATTCTATTTTTCATTTGTTTCAAAAACAAATTTGACGCACACTTAAGCATAGTCAAAGTACTCGCTGGAACTTATTTTCATAGGCAAAAAATACAGAGTAATTCAGAGAAGCTTCAGCGAGTTTCAAGGTTTGACCAAGTTTAGATGGGTATCATTTTTCTTGATCATTTACCTAATTCGTAAAATACTGAAATCAATTAAATAGATTCATAAATGAGAAATAATATATTATTTAAAAACAAAATCCTGTGTTTCTTGGACAGCTCCATATAATTGAGATTATTTTTTGGTAATTTCATCTACACGCCTTGAATACTTACTAATAGTACATTTCCTCTCTCTTTCTGTTGGTTCAGCTGATCAGCCCTCAAGAGAGTTGGCAACTCATGCCTGTTCAGCAAAGTCTTTACCTGAGTAGTGGTCAGGTCTGTTATCCTATAGTTCAAATCTCCTAACCAATATACCTGTCTGAGTAAAGGGAAACAATGTCATTGAAATTGAATACAGAAATGTTGGATACCTGGCGTCTTATATTCTTTGTTGCAAACACATTGAGTGGCAAAATTATCTAATGGTTTCAACAACAAACAGCTTCTTTGTCTGATCTTTTCATATAACAAGTTCTCATCAATTACTGAAATATTAAGAATTGAATAATACCATGACAACTTTGTGAGCTTTAAAAAAGTTCAACCTGGTATGTGGTATTTTTGTAGACAGTGACATGAAAATTTCAAAGTGAAAATGAGACGAATTGAAGTTGCCGTTAAAAAAAAAGGTAAGTGATCAGAAGGATTCCGTACCAAAATCTATCAATCAATAACATGTTATCATTGATGAGGAAATTCTTCATAATGGTCATTTGATTATTTCTCTTGGAGATCTCAATATGTGATAAGATTTTATGATGGCAACATGATGGGTCTAGTGCTGACAGAACTAAAACCAAAATGAAAAATTCTGCACAAAAATCTGCAACATTGCCCTAATTGAAGACTAAGTATTCCTTGAGATGTTTGAGAATGAGAATCTGCTGTGAGTGAATAACTCAGCACCTGACCATTAAATCTGTTTCAAAACCTTTTTTTATCTTGCATTTTTGTTTTGTTTTGTAGTGATATGATGAATCAAAACAGTATGATATTGTGTGATCTATTACTAACTCATGATCTTTGATAGCTTGTGGTGTTCTCTTGAAGTTCATTCTTGCATTGATATCCTTATAGTCCTGATTTCTTCTTTCATATTCATCCACATGAGCAGCAAGATGGGAATTTACAAAACATAAGGAAGTATTGTGGAGTTCCATTCTTACACCTACTCCTCCTTTATTTCCCTAAAAGAATGGAATCATTTGAATTCTCCATTTCCAAGATCTATAATATTAGTAAACAAGAAAAAACTCTCAAATGAACACCATATTGAAAATATTTGTTTGTGAGTGGTCAAGATATTTAGGAAATATTGTGAGTCTCCCCAATGGAAAAATGATTCTAAATATTATTTTGAGGATAAGGTTTTGAAGCATATATACTGTCCTTGGACCTATGTAAGGCATTTGACACTGTAGATCATAAAATTTTACTAGATAAATTATATTCAATCGGCGTCAGAGGAAGAATTCATGATTGGTTCACACATTATTTGACAAATAGAAAGCAGTATGTTGAAGATGGTTGAAGTGAATGATACTTCTGGCTCACTAAAGAATATTACATGTGGAGTACCGCAAGGATCAGTTCTGGGACCAATTTTATTTTTAATTTATATTAATTCAATATCAACTCTGAAATTGAAAGGAAAGCTAAAATTTTTTGTGGATGATACAACATTGATTTTTATATCCAAGGAATTAAATGATATCAAACGGGATATTACAAGTGATTTACATATCATCTTGGATGCAAATTCATAAGTTGACTCTTAATTATAACAAATCTTCATATATGTATATTTCCAAAAGATCAGTTAATATTTAGAATAATGCTATAACTTTCAACAATATGAAATATACAGATGTGGCAAAATTTTTAGGTCTCTATATCAACGAGAAATTATTATGGACTAAACATATAGACCATTTGAGAAATAAAATAAATCCGATCATAGGCATTTTATTCAAAATCCGAAATATTATTCCCATAAAATACTTGAAATGTATTTACTTTTGCCTCATTCATTCCAATTTGCAATATTTAATTTCTATTTGGGGGAGTACAAATATTTCATGTCTGAAACCACTAATGAAATTACAAAACAAGTGCATTTTTCATCTACATTTTCTAGAACCAATGGTAAATTTATACAAACCAAGACATTTTCTGAACCTGATTTCGTTATATAAACTTGAAATATGTTGCTTTATTCATTTTCCAGGAATAAATTGAAAATATCAAATTTAGCTTTTGATGAAGTCAATACAGTCCATAATTATGGGACTAGACAATTGAATTACTTGATAGCAAATACATTCAAGTCAAACATTGGCAAACAATCTGTTTTTCACAATGGAATAATTTTATACAATTCATTACCAAATGAGTTGAAAAATATACATGATGCAAGAAGGTTTAAAATCAATCTTGAAAAATACTTGCTCAGGACAATTTGAATGAAAAATATGTGGCATGATTTGATTACTTAGGAATGAAATATAACTTTAATCTTAAGAAACAATATTAATTCGTTTCCACTGAGTGGAATTCATTAGTTAACCCTTTATTATTTTTTTTATATGTATTTATGTATCCCTATCATAAACAGAAATGTTTCTTGGGGTAATAAAGACAATCAATCAATCAATCAAATTGAAAGGGAACTGAGATAATTGAAAATAAATGGAAATAATTAAGACTATTGGAAAGATACTGAACATAATCAATTTAAAACTAAACTGCAAGAAATAATTGACTGTTTGAAGAATTCAGTATACACCATATTTAAAGGGTTGCTTGGCCCTCCTTGGTTCCTGAACAATTTTAATAAATATTCCCTAATATCAATTTTTGGCTCAGGTCCACAGGAATTGATAAATTACTGGAGCCAATCCTGGAAATTAAATATTCCACTCCAAACCTCATATATTATACCTACCATTTTACCTAATAACCCTGTGCCAATTGTATCCACTGATATATTCTTGACATAGGGGTAATGTTGACTATTCACCATCACTACCAACTGCATGCCCACAAGTCTAGCTAAGCCTACAAGTTTATATTTGGCTTTTGGATGAACCCCTTCCATTACATATTTACTACAAAAAAAAGTCAATGTATTCAATTGAAGGAATATTACTGATAATCCACTACATACTACCACTCAGCTTCTCTAGGTGTATCATTGAACAAAAATGCTTCTTTACTCAAATCAATCTCCTGAAACCCCACTGCATACAGATCTGGTGGGTTTTCATCACAACTCAACCAAGGACGTAGTGATATAGAGGGAGGCTGTCCATTCACATTCCATGTACCCACAAATATACTGAAAAAAAAGTGACATTATGAAACATTATGGATTGCAATTGCACACATACCTGAACTCTTGTTTTTGTGTGAACTCTGGTTCCTTCAATTTGAGCTGGTACTTCAACATAGAATCACGATTTATCCCAGAGGGTCCTTGAGCAATGTGCTGCCTAATAATTGGGGTATCGGTCTGAGGAAATTCATAGTTATTTCAGCCAACAAATAAAAATATGTTTTACCTGTCCTAAGTCTGAAGTATGGCTTGGTTCACTCATGGTGCCGATATATTTGTCCAACCACACAAAAATGGGTTTGTTGTAAAGAGAAACTGAAATACAGGTTAGGGTGGATAACAATTGATCTCACCATTGATGTTGTAATAAAACTCACCTTCCTTTGAGCGTATGACTTCAGAAGCAAAATTTGAACTTTCTAAGCCAATTTCAATTTTAAATGCACGCACGATCTTTTTATATGTGATAATGAATATAATATGGAATTGGCTACCTTCTATAGGTTCCGTATCTAGAAAGCTTCAATGAATAAACAGTTGTTTTGTAAAATATTCAGCCTTACCACATGAGAAGTACTCATCAATTGGAATTACAGTTTCTATGGAAAGGTCTGAAATACTGAGAGGCTTGATTTTTGATGATATCAAAATAAATAAAGCAAATGAGTTATTGTATTCTACTAAAGCTAGGATCCTGTTCTCATCACACCGTCTTCCATCAATTGCAGACACGTTTAGGTGAATCTATGATTTGTTAAAGCGAAAATACAAAAAATAATATGGTATACTGTATACTTGATTCACAGCTCTTATTATAAGAACAGGAAAAAGGATACACTTCTAACAACCTCCGCAGACAAAAATTTTGCCTGTACAATGTTAAGTACATCGCGATGAACAGCTAACATAATAAATTGTGCTTGTGCAGAGTCAATTCATTTTATGTAAATAGTTATGAAATCATTAAAAATAACATAAATACAAGTTTATAAAACAAACAAGAAACAAGAAACGTCAAATTTTATAACCTAGCAAATATCTATTCTTCATCTTCTTCGTCGCCGACTCTGGCTGCTGGCAGTGCAGTTGGCACTCATGACTCAAGTATCCTACTATTCTATCCTTCTCTTACTGTTACACTCCAACTACTTTCCAGTTTTCCACTTTCCAGCAATGATTTTCCAACTAGCGACACTAGCGTCATCTAGCGTCCGGCAAGATCGTGTGTGTTCGGCTTGTAGGTGATTTGTAGCATTGTTTTTTTTTTTTTTTTTTTTTTTATCGATTGGAGCGCACGAAAGGGAATCCCTATAATGTTCAAAGAACATCGTGCGTTCCTAGGGAGGATAGGGACAGGAGGTAGGTATTGGAATTTTTTTTGAATTTTTGGAGATTATATGTTGTTGGGAATACTTCCACAGGCAATGAATTCCACAGCCTAGCCGTTCTATGGATGAAGGAGTCTTGATAAAGTGCTGTTCGACATCTTTCGAGGTTGACAACGAAAGGATGTGCTGACTGGGCTTGTCTAGTTCGTCTGATTGGTATTGCTAGTGAAGGGATGATTGCAGAGATTTCCGAAGAACATTTCCCGTGGAAGTATCGATAGAAAAGTGAAAGGTCGCCGACCTTTCTACGGTGTTCCAATGATGTCAAAGAGTGAGTGAGTGTAGCAAAGTACCTTTCGTCATCAAGATAAAGAGCACTAGACTTGCAAATAAGGTTGGTAGAACTGATGATTATTTTGTAGTTCTACCAACATTGCTTGCAAAATTGAAGGGCGTCATCTAACAGTTGGTCATGAAACTATGTAGATGTCAAAAATTTAAAAAAAGTTTTCTAGTCGAGTGGTTTCAATTATTTTGACAGAGCGTCATCTTGCGGTGATGTTTATGAGAGCATTTGAAATTTGAATTTCGGAAGCCCTTTTGTGATTGTTGCAAGTTGGATGTTCTTCAAAAATGACTGATTGGCTTCATTGTAATAAGTGTTCAGCAAAGTATCAGCCAAATATTAAACTGTACTTGACCGAGTGTGCTCATATCTTTTGTGAAAAATGTAGAGAAGTGATAAGTAAGTAAATACGGTTATGGTCCTGGGATTTGGAAATAAATAAACTTTTTTTTGTTTCCAGATGACCCAATTAAATGTCCAGTTTGCGATAAGCCTAATAACTTTATACCAATTTCCAAAGATATGGATGCTAATGTGCAGCAGTTTTTTATTCCATTCGAAGTTCAAGTTAAAAAACTTTCAGAGGTAGGTTGGTGAAGGTGCACTTATCATGCGATGGGTTTTTTTCAATTTTTTTTTTGTATTTTCGTCTGAGAAACTCGAATTCGACAATGAAAATGTGAACAAACAATTATTTATCGAGATATTTTACGAAAAAGTTCGAAATTTCAGCATCTTTTGCCATCCATCTTTGATATTCATTTAAAACTACTTGTCCTTTTTTTCTCATCACTGGTCGATTTATATAATCACGTTGTACTTCAATTACACATTTTATTTCCTAAAATCAACAAGAAGTGTGGTTTATTTGGATTTTTTTCATATTGTAGTGAGGTAATCAATCACACCAGGACACCAGCTGACGGCCATTCAATTATCAAATTTAGGTACAAAGAAAGTACAAAGGTCAAATGTCAAAAAAAAGTTGCGAGAAACCAAACTATTGTTATTCTCATTTGCACATAAAAAAATGCCAAAAAAACATCTGTTGATTATAGAAAATAAAATGTGTTATTGAAGTACTACAGTTGAAGACGGCTGTGACGTGAGTATATAAGGAGTCGTTAATCTATGTATAAATGAATGTCCAGTGATAAAAAAAGAAGGGCAAGTAGTTGTTGTAAATGAATATCCAAGATGGGTGAAATTCTAAACTTCTTCGTGGAATATCTCAATAAATAGTGGTTTGTTCACATTTTCATTATGAAATTCGTGTTTTTCAGACGAAAATACGTAGTTCCAAGAAATTTGAAAAAAACCATCGCAAGATATAAGTGCATCTTTACTAATGTTTAATTTTCAGATGTACAACTTCCAGATGCAACACAGAATGAGATTGTTTCAAACTATGTCTCAGAAATATGCCTTCTTGAAAAAGGAATTCATCAATGTACATAATAAGGGCAAGAATTTGGCAAGAGAGAACACGATGTTGAAAAATATGTTGATGGTAAGAGATACCATGCATGAATATAACATATTCATTTCTTTAAACAAATTTTCAGTCCACAAGTCGAAATTCTCAACCATTTCAAACCAGTACACCAGCATTAACAAATGATGACAGTTCACATATTGATGAAATGTCTGTAGTTTCTTCCATTCCATTCACGCCCAGTATAGTGTCTTCATCTGCCAGAAAATTCCCAGGGCATCCGCAAAGAGTACATCCTAGCTTCAGAGGAGTTTTTCCAGTGGTGAGTATCTTTTTTGGCTGACTTTTTGTCTATCTGAAAATTATCAATCTAACATATAAAATTTTCCTGACCCAGTCAGATTCGTAAGAAAATTTGTGTGCGTATTCGGTAGCTATGAGAATCGGTCGTAATCTATTTTTTAAATCAAAAATTCAAGATGGCGGATTCAATATGTCGGACCAGTTTTGTAATTATGATCCGATTCCATTCAAAATTGGTATCTGGAGTTTTTCGGGGTCAGAGATTATAATTCTTTCTTGAGAATTATAAAATTCAAGATGGCGGATCCAATATGGCGGACGCGACTTTCGTAATTATGGTCAGATTCTATCAAAATTGGTAACATGGGGGTTTTCGGAGTCAGAGATAATGATTCTTTCATTGAAATTTGGAAATCCAAGATGGCAGATCCAATATGGCGGACGAGTTTTGTAACTATCATCCGATTCAATTAAAAAATCATATCTGGGGGATTTTGGGGTCGTAGATTACGATTCTTTCATCAAAATCAGGAAATAAAAGATGGAGGATCCAATATGGCGGACGAGTTTTGTAATTACGATCCGATCCTATTCAAATTTTGTATCAGTAATCGAATTGATATCGGAATTCTACTGAGCTGAGGATAAATCGATACACAATCGAAAATTAATGATCATGTCCAGAAATAAAGAAAAATTCGGTTTGCAAACGCAATTTTCAACTTAAAATTTGAAATATTTCGAAAAGGGTTAGTCTTGGGTATAGGACATTATACATGAAACATCTTCAGAATCATCCGTCAAATCTAAAACCTTGATAATATACAGGGTGTCCTATTCAAAATAACGAAGTTGGGGTCCACTTCCGGTACAACCGGAAGTTCCGGAATCTTCAAAATATTTTAGCCGGATAGCACTTATCGACAATTGTGAACTTCCAAATTTTCAAATTCGGTCCACCTATGGTTTTCTATATATTGATCGATGCAGTTCCCGGAGGGACACCCTGTATAGCAAAACAGCGGTTGACGTGGGTATCAGCTATTGTAATAAATAGTAGTTTGAAAAACTAATGGAAACTAAATAGAAGTGAGTAGAAATAAGGAGTACTTTCGGAAAAATAAAGAGATATAGAGTGTCAAACTAAAAAGAAGTAAAAAATAAATAGAATAGTTTGAAAAACTGGAGAATCCCGCTTTTATGGATAGTCAAACTAAAAAGAAGTGAAAATAAAATGATGAAAGTTTTTTTGATAGATATTTATCTGAACAAATTTTCTCTAGAATAGTTATTTATGTATCAGGGGCGTAAAGTAGGATTTTATGGACCGCAGCGTGTAAAAGTAAACTAACGCCTAGGTCCATAAAAGCAAGTTACGCCCGAAATACATACAACATTTCATGCATGACCGTTTTAGACATCTATTCACTGTCAATATGTAATTTATTCATGATTTCGAATTCATTTGGCCAAATTATGTATGACACTGGCGAAGGAAGATCGAATGGTAGTCTACTAGAAAATACTGGAAAAACAGTGAAAGTTACTTTACCGCTCGATCACCTACTTTACTGCCAGCGTCACTTCTTTATCGCCCTATGGCGCTAAAGTGCTACTTTACGTCCGCTAATCCGGGCGATAAAGTGCCACTTCACGCCCGGTTGTGCATAAATAACTTCTAGTACAGGGTGATTCACCATAAATGTCCCCCCCTCTAGCTCACTTATTTTTTATCCGATTCAAAGATTTTAAAAATCATCTAATATGATTTTTCAGAAACTTCTTTCCCGTTGTATCAGAAAATACAGGGTGCTCGGAACAAACGATCTACAGAGTACTACTTGATTTTTTTTAATGGAAAACCCTGTATTTCATTGTATTATTAGATTCTCCCTGAAGAGCTGATTTCATCAATGCATCACACTTGGGGTCTAGCGGGAATGATTTAAGAGATATAGGGTGTTCAAAATCGAGATTTTTCAACTTTAGTATTTTTTTGTGTCGAAACTATTCATTATTGGTCAAAACGGCATTGATGTCCTTCTATCAACTTTTGATTTACTATCTACTGACATTTAATTGGAACATATACATTGTGGTTCAAGATTCAGAATTCCGATCACCCTGTATCTGTTCCAATTATGAAATGTCAGTAGATTGTAAAACAAAAGTTAAGATACGGACATGAAAATCCGATAATGAATAGTTTCATCACAGAAAAATCCTAAAGTTGAAAAATCTCGATTTTGAACACCCTATATCTCTGTAATCATTCTCGCTAGATCCCAACTGTGATGCATTGATGAAATCAGCTCTTCAGGGAGAATCTGAAAATACAATGAAAAATAGGGTGTTTCATTTAAAAAAATCCAAAATAGTACCCTGTAAATCGTTTGTTCCGAGCACCCTGTATTTTCTGATGTAGCGGAAAAAAACCTTATCGAAAATCATATGAGATGATATTTAAAATTTTGCAATCGGTTCAAAAATAACTGAGCTAGAGGGGGGGACATTTATGGTGAATCACCCTGTACGTAGCACTAGCTACTTCCCTAGTTACGCCCGTGTCAGTATACTATTGAAATACTCAATCTCCGTATATATTTGGGTATTTTAATCCAATTCCAGGATTGATCCTGAGAAGAGAAAATCAATCAGCTGAGTGATTTAAGTTTATTGAAGTAGGTTAGAGAAACAGAACAAGTTCACATTCATGGGTGTTATTGGAGGCATCTGATTTGGTGGGCCAGGTATAAATGAAGGGGATGGGGGTCTGTGGGAAAAATATAGGGAATATACAGGGTGGGTCACGGTGGATGGCCTATTAGAAGTATCTGGAGAACGAAAAAACTGAACATTCTGAAAATTAGGATGCTTCGATAATTGAACATTCTCTATTCGTCTATAATGTTTTCATTGATACAGTGTTGCCACTTCTATCAGAAACAACTAGCAACTTCTTTATTTCAAAAGAGCACCCTGTATTTTATTGCATTTTCAGATCCTTCCTAAAGAGCTGATTCTATCAATGCATCACACTTGGGGTCTAGCAGGAATGATTACAGAGATATAGGGTGTTCAAATTCTAGATTTTTCAATTTTGGGATTTTTTTGTGTCGAAACTATTCATAATTGATCAAAACGGCGTACATGTCCCTATTTCAACTTTTTATTCACGATCTACTGGAATTTTATTGGAAAAAATACAGGGTGCTTCAAGATTCAGAATTCTGATCACCCAGTATCTGTTCCAATTAAATGTCAGTCGTTCTCCAGATACTTCTAATAGGCCATTCACCGTGACCCACCCTGTATACCCTCTATACAAGACCATCAGTCAAGAGGTAATCAGAGGTCATCGAAATATGGAATGAAAATTGGATTCACTGGTACAGAACTTTGAAAGCAATTTGCATTCACAATAATATTATTACTATACAGCGTGTCTCACTTTAAACGGCTCCCATCTATATCTCAGCTGAATTAGTCGTGGGATGCAATTCACGAAAAATTATTATTGCAATCGGTGTAATCAAAATTTGAGAAGGAATTTTGTGTTATATCAATTCACTATCTGATATATAAAATTATCCTGTCCCTGTCCAGGGCCTATACTCTATCTTTGTTGCCAAACTCCTCCGAAACGGCTCTTATGAAAATTTCGTATCGGTCGTAAACTATTTTTGAAATTGAAAATTCGAAATGGCAGATCCAATATGGCGGACGAGCTTTGTAATGAATATCGATACCACTCGAGGCAAGAAAAAGGAGTAGAAAGATATTATAGTTTGAAAAACTAAAGAGATAGATTGCCGAACTAAAGAGAAGTAGAAAATAAATAATAAATTGAAAAACTGAACAAACACGTTTTATGGATACTCAAACTGAAAAGAAGTACATATGATAAGACACCAATTTATTATTAACCATATCAATTCGAATACTTATTATATTACAGTCACTATTTGCACTTTATATTTCAAATTATCGATATTGATTCATTGCATTGTTGTTGTAGATGATTGTTTTTATGGTTTATTCCTGATAAAAAAGAAATCGATCAAGATGTATATAATATCTGTATTGTTATTTTTAATGTCGATGTGATAATTTGGTCGAAAAACACGTCGTTGTTTGATGGTGCTATTATGTTTGAAATATAAGTACAGGTGGTCGATAATTTTTTCGACCTTGAAATTGAATTTCATTCCAATAAACGAGTTGATAGAAACTTGCCAAAGCATGATTATGACTTGGTTTTTTTTATATAATAATTTCTTGAATGCGAAACATTTTGTTAAGACATTGAATGAATAGGTAAAAAAAAAACAAAAATTAATCATCTGTTTGAAATGATGAGGTTTTTGAGTTTTTATACCTATACCTATAACTACATTTTTTTGATATTGTCATAAAAATTAAGCAGCATGAGAGAATCTTTTATTTCCCATTGAGGAGTAAGCGGATATCAAGGAGAAATAAGACTGCGATGTTGGGTCCTTTATCATTACACAGTATACTTACCTCGGATCTCTCTGTCACACACTTCCACGCGCGTTGAAATTAAAATCTTTAAAATTCGCAAACCCCTAATAGGACCGGAATTTTCGCAGACAACCCTATATCAACGTGTTCGCAATTAAACAGCGCTTATGATGATATAATTTTTTTTAAATTATCCAATCCAGTGAAAGTAACTGGCATCGATATACCTGTGTTTACCTGACAACCCAGTAGTTCGCCCAGGTAAATAGTAGACAACCCAACGGCTGCACATTCTATACGTTTTATACTTTCAGTCAGGACACAATTTTTTTATTATCCTGATGTTGCAACATTTAATTAAAAATAATTTTTCCAAAAATAATTAAAAATAGTCTGCCCAGGATTTTTTTAGCCAACCCATTTTTAATATGTTTTCTAATATACTAAATTCATGATAAAAGCTCGGTGAAGGTCGATTTAGGTTCGGATCTTCTACTATACGTGCGCTGATGACTTACTATCTATTTTTCTTCA